TATATATATATATATAAAACCATTAATAGAATATATACTAGTTTGCTGTTTGTTCGTTTGTTTAAAAAGGCCATGGGCACTCTACGATGACTTACACCTCTACAACAATGCATTCATCGAGACAGCTAAACAGAATAAAGCTGCTGTACTCTTCAGATTCCCTCTAGATCCAACACACTAGGTCAGGAAAAAAAAAAGCAGTATGAATGAAAAGGATATATTTCATTTAGCCTACTTACCTAAGGAAACCAGGCTTCTGAGATCACATTCTCTACCAAACAGTCCTCGAATAGATCTGAAGCTTTCAATTTCAACCAAATTTAAGAGATAAATTAAAAAAAATTAACAAATTTCAGTTTCTGCCAGTGTCATGGAAACAGGTGGTTAGGGCTGTAAAGAAACATCCTGTTTAAGCTCTCATTGAATAAAAGGCTATCAAATTCACTAAGACCCAAATTTAATGATCTTTGTTTTTACATAACCCAACAGCACACTGCTGAACACCTCACTGGTGGCTCACATATAATGAACATGTTATACACCAAAATAGCAGTAAGTTATATGGCACACAATGCAGAAGAGGGAGCCCCTATGCTTTTTAAGAAGGTCAAAGTGCCGTGAGTTTCAAGCAGGATTCTTTGTACTGAATGTCCACAAAACTGGGCTTAAAACAGAATGAAAGGAACAAGACAAAACTGCTCAGTAACACTAAATTTTTCATCAAGTTTATTGCCAAGTGAACAGGATGACTCCCACTTAGAGCCAATGTCTTAGTGCTTGCAGACAAAGTGGCGTTTTGGAAATTTCAACCAGACATGGAACCAGTGCCACAGCAAACAATGATGCTGAAGCCTATACAGTGACTGTCAAATGAAAACACAAGAAAACTCTCCAAAATGCTGAAGCCCTTCACAAGAAATACTTCAGCTCCTCATCTTTGCACTCATTAATAAATATTCATTATAGCCAATCTGAATTACTCTTAAGAGTTTCAAGGGTGAAGTAGGGGTTAATGAGGCCAGAAGGAATACATGAACAAAGATATTTGTGGAATTAAGAAAAAAAAAAAATAATCAAGCAATGAATATGCAAGAAGCTGATTTCACATAGAATTAATGGTAAATGGAGAAAAGCTTCTGATCTAAAACTAGAACAGTGCTTCAAGATCAGGTATGACTGGGGTTTCTCAAGGCACACTGTTTCCACGTGTGTTATTGCAACATGACACACATCTTTTGTTCATTACTGTTAATTACAATGAAAACCTCCTACAATTAACTGTAGAAGAACATATCAATGAATCTTAGATAAATCAACCTTTCCGCACACACCCATATATATATATATAAAATAATGACCTTTTACACTGACAGCTCTGTAAAATAATTTTTTTTGGTACAATAATTAAATTATGCTGCTTCTTTTATTCTTGCAAAATCACTGAAATACAGATTCCATGAGCTAGTCCTCCAGCTGCAGTAAACAAGAGGTGCTCTGAATTCAATCTATTACAAAAGTAAACCATCCCACTACAGTACTCAAATTAGATGTTAAATTTGTATGCTACATTATTAAAAATAATTTTCCTTCATTCCTCTGTCATTCCCACCACCAGCAAAGAGCTAAGCACAGGCATTTTTCAGCACTGCCCTGTGTAGCCCTTTCCCAGCTTCTCCAAGAGGCCCTAACCCTCTCTTGTGGCACCAGTCACCCCCAGCAATCTTGACACACCAGCACAGAAGGCCGCTCAGGACAAATTTTGCATACCTGATTCTGAATTCTAATCAACATTTTCAAATTGGTGGGTAACAACCGTTGAACTGAAGGCTTTCCACGTCAGTTTTGCCCACCCACAGCAGATGTCACCAGGTTCCACTAATGCCCCAGATACAGCAACTGAACCTCTTTGCAGGGACCAGTAGGCTTCTGGTGGAAAACACTTTTTTTCAGCTATTAAGGTGGCAATCTGTAAGAACTTCACAGAAGAAAGCCAGTGAGAGTTCTCCTTGCCATTAAGTTGTCCCTCTGTGGCAGTCTTTCCATGTCTGCCCCGACCTGGAAAGGGTGCCACACACTCCTTCCCCAAAACCCCTTCTTTTGATCTCAGTATAAGCAGGCAGGAGTGATTAATACATTTGTATAATATTAACCTAACTGGGAGCAAAGCTAGACCTGCCTATCCAAAATAACTTTATAGAGTCAAGAATTTTTTATTCAAAATTAAAAATGATGGATACGAAGATCACTGCACAATACATAGGACTTTGCAACATGACTTACGCTTTCTTTCTATTTATTATTACATTTGCCAGATTTTTATTTCTCACTCTTCCCCATCCCCTTGGAAAATATATATATATATATATTCCAAGCCATTACCTCCTAATCTTCCAAGCTTTAAAGTCAAGCTCTAAAGGAACGATGGAATGATCACAATCGCTACGTATGCCACTGCAACCCAGATTCAAAGTTACACACCATGACAACATACTATGGTGAATCAGGCCCTCAATACCGCGCTTGTTGTCCTCTCCCTAAAATGCTGCAGGTTGCCTGCTTACCCTCCAAAACAAGCAGGATGAGGACTAGCTACTTACCACACACTGTTCATGCCATTCTGCATCTTCCCAAATGTGATTAGCACAGAAAATGCGAGAAGACCAGAAGGCATCTTTCCATATTTAGCCATGTATGTTTAACACCGAGTTAGATTTCACCTCAGTGCCTTATTCCGTTAATCAAGGGCGGCTATACAAAGGAAGACATAGACTGACATCAGCTACTTTTAAGATTTCTCTTCCTCTTCCCCCCACCTCCACCTTCTGTCACACCACGCATTGTGCATTTTATGTGCATTCATGTGTGCAAACGGCAGAGACTTATCTGTAAAGATCAGTTTTATGCTAAAACTGCGAAAGGAAACTTTCACCCTTGTCCAGCTGGTTGAATAACTGCAGAGGCCAACAGCAGCAAGCCTCTAAATACATCCTCTTCTTCTCCCTCCACCCCCACGTCTCTAATCACTTAGGAGGAAGATAGGAAGATTAGCAGAGAGGAAAAAAATAACCAAAGCTGCAGATAACCCTTTAGGACCACAACGTCAGGCTATGAGACATGGAGCAGAAGGTTAATGCAGCTGTATTTTCAGGAATCTCAGACAATTGCGTTCAAAGGGGAGGGAGGAGTGCTGAGAAGGTGAGAGAGAGAAAAAAGGAAATGGTGATGAAGACAAAAATGAATTTGTCATCTACAGCTGGCTCTTTGATCACCTGGAGTATCCAGGAAAGGATTACCAGCAGAAATAGAGCAGTTTTATCACCAACACACTGCAAATTTTTGGTAGAGTATTTTCATTACCATCATCAGAACAGATTTTAGTAACAATACAGCTGCAGAAGCAAGGGCTTATTGAGCTATGCAAAGAATCAAGGTGGTAACCAAAACAGTGACAGAGAGCTACCTTCAGCAGCTGACACATTGAAGAGATTTGGACAAAAAAAAAAAAAAAAAAAGAAATATAAATAAAAGTCACTTTCACTAGAAGACAATGTCATCTTCATCCATGTCTCTGAACGGTTGCTATGGGGTTGTGAAGAGGAGGGGAGGGATGGGGGGGGTTATAATCAATCATCTCAGAAGAGCATTGCTTCTTACAGAGAAAGATCTGGATTTTGACTGTGTCCCTAAGAAAATTGCGGACTGCAGAGCTGCTGCCACGCAGGGCAGTGAGGAAGCAGGCAGAGCAGAGGCAGCAGCTGGGGATGGAAACGCCTATTAAATCCTTTAGACAACAGATGGGCAAAGCTCGGCTGGGTTATAAAAAAAAAAAAATTACACCACAATGCATCATGTTTTATTGTCCCACCATAATGAACAACACTTAACACCCCCAAGCCCAGAGAAGCCCCCCTATGGGCTGATCTTCCCCTTTCCCTAAATTACAATCTCGAGTCTCTATCCGCTTTCGGGGGGCTCCCAACCCAATGGATTTGCTGATGCTATTGCTTATTGCACTTGTTACTAAAAAAAAAAAAAAAATTAAAAAAATCAAATAATGAAGACATCTGGGCTTCTTTTTAGGGGTTTTTCTTCCAATTAATGCTCCCCTGCCCTTGAAGTGGATATGCTATCCAAGCAAGCAACAGTAAGTCCAGATCTTGAACGCATTTAGTGGATCTAATTATGTCATGTAGGGCAGAAGCACCTGCTCTCTGCTAATTCCCTCCACTCGGTTTCCTCTTTTTAATATTTCTTACCATTGTTCCATTCAGGAAAATCTGCTGGGGGCGAGTTTCATAAACAAGCTTTAAGAAAAATAATTAAATAAGCTCCCCTCCCCCCCCAGTCCCTCCTACAAAAACACAGCATAACCAGAATGAATTCTGCTACCAATTCTCTATTTTTCTTTTATTTCCGACCCTACCCACAAAACCCACCAGCCCATCCATCCATATTTGCTAAATACCCACAGCAGTCAGTGCCACAGACATACTGTACATATTTCTACCCCCCCAACTGCACCTTAAGGACTACACCCTTTTCAATCATGATGTCATGAAATACTGCTGGTGACTCCCCCACTACCACCACCACCACCTCCTCGGTACTACACGCTGTGAACCTTTCATTTCAATATAATTTAATTAAAAAGAAAACGCTCTTAAGTAGGGCAGTGAAGAAATTGATGTGAAAATTCACCACCGGCAGATCATCTGTTTTTTCCTCTGCATGCACTCTGGCTGTCATCAGAACAACACCCATTAGCAGGAGTAATGAACATAAAGCATCCTGGGCTTTTTTTTTTTTTTAAAAAAAAAAAAAAGGAAGAAAAGAAAGAATTAAAATGAAAACTAAAAAAGAAATAAAGGCAAAAATCCCCTATGAATATCATCTCCACTAAAACAGCAAATGGGAAAACCCTCAAATATCCCATCCCCAACAACTCACTGGCTGCTATAGCACCTTCCCCCTAGCGCCGGTGCTGCTGCAAAAGAACCAACCTGTCTGTCCTTTTCCTAGGGTTTTCTCCAAACGATAGGGTCCAACATATTGTGCATGTTGAGCTCCGCTGCCTTCTTTCCCTGTTGATGTCATTTCTACCTGGATCTGTAATTCTGCAATGTGTATGTGCTGATGAGATGGTATTTCTCTCTGCAGTTCTTTAAATTCCCACTTCGCAGCTGTGCAAGCAAAGCACTCTTTTTCTTTGCTTTAGTCCACTTGGTTGCAGATTTTTCTCTTCCTCCCCTTTCTTTCCTCTCTCTCTCTCTCACACGTGCGTGTTTTCTCGCTGGGTCTGCCTGGGACGCTGATGGACGAAAGAGTTATTTTAATGTTCAAAGAGGGGGATCTACGATCCAAGCCCAAGGAGCATGATGCTGGTGATCCGAGCTCCGCACGCCTTGTTCTCTCTAGGAGCTGTTCAAGGGAGAGCCAGAGCTAGAGCAGCGGAAGAGCTGGGGCCTGCAGCTGTGATTGACATGAAAAGCAGCCAATCGCTTCGTCTCCCACTTCCTTCTCCCCTCCTCCTTCCACTACCTTTTCCATCAGCAGCAGTTACTGCCCCTGCCTGCTACAGAGCATCATGATCAATGGCCACAGCAAACACCTAAGTTTATCAGTCTATTGATAAGGCACAATTAAACATAGTTTAATGTGTACGTTATTTTAAGACCCAAGCATACTCTTTTTTTTTCTTTTCCTCTGATGTATAGTCTGCTATGCAGCATTAAGAAAGGCTGACATTGTGGCAGGAAACAGGAAAGGAAAAAAACTACTTCTGAAAATGAGCTTGATAAATTGATTGATTCTCTTTGATTCTGGAGGACCTACATCTTCTGTGGTCTTTAAAGGCAGCCTTTGTGGGGCAAAGAATAAAAAGAGAGTTAAAAACCGGGGCCAATCCTGTAACCATTGAACTCAGTAACAGACCTGCTTTTGAGTTTGATGGGAGCAAATCGACTTCAGGTCCTTAAATGACCAGATCAAAAATGGCATGCCCACTAGCTTGATTAGAAACACAGCAGAAAATCCAGGGATTAGATGGTAACAGGAACTGCTTCCCAGATCCACAGGTCCCATACTAACAGCATAAGAAAACTTTCACTATTTTTGTCCAAGTGCTTATGCCTGTGTTTAACCTTTGGGGCTTAAGATTTTGCAGACATGCTTCAAGTTAGGCACAAGCCTACATACCTTCTGGATTCAGGACCACACAACAGCTTCAGCCAGACTCCAGGACTACCAAGCTTAAACCATTACTGCACACAAGTTCCATTTTTACATTCTCTTCTCCGCTCCACTCCAGACAGACAACTGGTCAAGATATTCTTATCAAATTGCAGCTGAGACACAACACACAGCAAGGATTCTTCAGTCAGAGAGGGAATCATTGACAAGCCTGTAAAAGAAAGGGAGAGTAGAGAGGGCAAAACTTGAACAAGCCTTATCATTATCTGTTGCTTATTGAGAGAAAAGACTATTTCAGGTTTGTTCGGAGGTTTTTTAAAGAGCGAAATTTACCTTTTTTTTAATACCTCTATCTACAGACAGCAGCTGCTGATGTAAATTGTAATAAAACTGGAAAGTGGCTCTTTAACTGTATCACAGACAACACAACTCTACCCAACAGGTTGCAGAGGAGTTAACAAGATGAGGAGGCGGAGGGAAACCAGGCCAGTGGACACAAACATTAAACCAGTTCGAAGCTATCCTCCTGTCTCCTCAGGAAACAAAACCCCAACGCTTGGCTTTGACCTTCCCCTGCTTTGCTCTTTACGGTTCATCTTTACTCCCTTACAGACTGTGCCACTGCAGCAACCTGCCAGCAAACTCCAAAGCACCCTAAACCGTTCCCATTCCTCTGCTTCCCCCTCACAGACCTCGTCCTGTGTGACCACCCACTAAGGCTCCTTCTCTGCTGAAAGGACTACCTCTACCTTTTCCCAACCACACCTCTGCCCCCTCCAGTCCCCACAGGTGCTTCACTTCCCTCCCCTACTAAACTTGACTCCAAATTGCCATTTCTCCAAGCTCACTCTCCCAAATCTTTCACTAAGTATTGCTCTTCCCCCACCTTACTGCAAGCCCAACAGCTGCTCCCCTTTCGCCCACACTCGCCCTCACACTCCCGCCCCTCTCCCCTCAGCACCCCGGTACGCACCTGAGCCGCAGCCCCTCACTGAGGAGGGAGGGAAGGCGGTGGGGGAGAACGACGCCAAGTGCCGAGGCAGCACTTTCCCCACGCCGTGCCCCCCTCCCCTCCGCCCTGCAGCCCCCGGCGGAGCCGCGGGACTGGAGGGGGAAGGAGAGAGGAGGTAGCGGGCTCTGCTGGCAGCCACGGCGACATGGCGGTGGTGCGGCAGCCCTCTTCCCGCCAAAAGTGGGGAGGGGCG